CACTGGCATAACTCTCTGTGTGGCTCAACTATGAGCTGGATGAAGGGAACTAATTAGGCTGGTTTACAGTCTTCATCAAAGAAGTGTTAGAAACAAATACTACCACGCCACAAACCTGATCCACGTGCACTAACTGGGGAAGTGACAAAGAGGATCAAGTAGCAACAGCAATACTTAAGCAAAAATTGCCAAACAATTTGCAACGCCACTATAAAGCTCACACTGCATTAAGTGCATCTTTACACAGAAGTTCAGGCTTCCTCCACTTTTAAAGTAGACACAGCATTAAATATTCACACAAGGAGTGTAAACTGTCTTATATGCTATAAACTCACACTGTAGCTTACTGAGCATCCACTGTCCTTTATAGGCAAATTGTAAGGAAGCAATTCTCAATCTTTTATTCTTGTTAAGCCCTGTCCACTCCTACTGCTTTTTTTTTTTCCTCCACCATGAAATTTGGAAATAAATTCAAATTTCCCTCTTACTACTACTACTGTAGGCCATTGGCCACAACATGTTTGTATTTTTGTCCTCCTCTTCCCCTCACTCTTGGTTTGATGTCTCAATTTTGTATGTCAACTCATTTTATTTCCTGAATTTCCAGCACAGTGTTTTCCTTTAATCACTCCTCCCCTTTCCATTCTATGTCTTCCCCTCATCTACTGACAGCAGATTTTGGGTGCTTCTGGTGAAAGCTTTACATGAATAATTTTCCTTAATGACACTGCCAACGGACTGCCTGTTGCCACAGAATCTGCAGGGAGCAGCGACCTGCAGCAGCTTCCAGAACAGAAGAAATAGCAAAAATATTACTAGAAAAGAAAGAGAGAATAAGACAATACAAATTCATTCACCATGAGAGATTAGCAACAGCCTTTTCTCAGATCAGCCAGGGTTTGAAGCTACTCTGAAGGAAGGAGTAAAGGGTGGATTGTGGGGTCTAAACTCCCCATGCAATTTGCAATTGTATTACAGACAACAGTTTTGGGGAAACTGACGGCTATGGATAAAAGATGGTTGAAAGTTTGCTTGGTCAGGGTTGGAGTTTTTTGTTTAAATCAAGGTCAGAATAATATTATGGGCAATTCACAAAAATATATCTATTCTGTGTGGAGGGAATAAACTGTTACAATACATGACCTACTTGTTAAACCCAAAGCACAACATGGCAAACATCACTGTATTTGTACATTCTACTTTACAGACTTTTATACCGGCAAATTCCTGAAACAGGGAACATTGTCTGTTTTCCAGTGTCTCCAATAGCAGAAGACAGAGATTAAAGAAAGCTGATCAAGAATGCCTGTATGGATAACAGCATTTCATCTAGAAGATACTGCTTACCTTCAGAACAGTGGCTATGGTGGCAATCTGAATTAGAAGGAACGTGCAATGACTGGGTGCATCTAACATAGAAGCTCTTATTTTCCCCAGAACCAGCTGTGGCTTTGAGTAAAATACTGAGCATTTTGAGAATGTACTACTACTGGTGAAACCATACCAACATCAGCCCCAAACCAGTCTGAAACATGTTCTCCTTACAGAAACAGTAACCACCTGGAGCTCTGTCAGAGTGAAGTGGACAGTGGTTCCAGTAGAACCCAAGGAAGATAGATGGCTGTACAATGTTAATTCTGTATCTTGAGGGCAAGTGTGTATGGACACTTAAAGCAGAGAGGAAAAAGAAAGAATGCAAATGCTTTGGTTCACATTAAACTGAAACTGCCATTGCTGCTCTGCCTTAAAGGGAAAAAAATGTCCATACCAGTGGAGAGCACAAGGGAGGAATACTCTATCCAGCTCACTAACATAATTATCAGTTTACATCTGAGATTAGCTTGTGTTAAGCATCCTTGGCTAGAAGGGATTTTCAAACAATACATGTTTATGACACAGTGCTCTATCAAGTAGAAAAGGTAATTTGCCCATCCTGGGCTATTTACATAAACCACTCTGTAACTTCGTGATTGAGAGGGGAAAAAAGCTCTGTATGTTCTACTATGGAGTGTATGTAAAAATAAAATGTATTTATTTTTAGCATTTAGCTCTAGATAGAAGTGTGAAGTTAAAAATATCTTCAGAAGAAAGGTTGAAAAAAGTTTAGGTTGCAAGATAATCTTGGAACAGCAAACTGGGGTCTCCACTGAGAACCACTCCTGCCGTGGGCAGTAAGTCAAACATCAGCCAACTCTACTCACCCCTACAGCAGTACATGACAACACAGGACATATGTCTCATCCACACAGAGCTTTCAAAGAAAATCTAGCATCAGGCAGACACACACTTATAGACATGAAAACCAACAGCTTAGCGGGGCTTCAAAATGGCACATATGTGAAACATCACCTTCCAGTTACACTGTATGCATAGCACAACTCTAAATATTGACATGACAATTGAGCAGTCAGGGCTCTGGCAGACGTTTCAAATGGGTGGTATAGCCCTTGCTCTCTTAGCTTCTTTCACCACTCCAGCCATGCAGTTCCCTCCTACTGCCAGCCAGGAGGTAAGGGTGTATTTGCCTTCATTTCGTGCTACTCTCACCATGCTGGAAGCTGTAGCTCCTTTTCTTTTTAAAGGTGGAACAAGGAAAGGGCGTGCATCACAAAAAACTCTGCCAGGAAACATCATGGTGACAACAGCTATCATTCAGGAAAAAACAAGCTCTTTCTTTCTTGAAAACAAATACCACAAAGAGTATTCTTGCTATCCATCACATGTTATTGCTTAAAGCAAACTACTGATACAAACCAACCATGGAATACCTGGCATATCTTGACCCACAATGCAATATCCCTCCCTTGAGAAACAATGCAAGTATCTCTTCTACCACAAAGAAGTCACCATCACCTTGTTGACTACATAACTCCACAGTGATCTGATCTCTTACACATAACACCCATGTGTTATAAATATCAGCAGAACCTTGAGAAACCAGATCCTCTTATTTCCATCTCCCCTAGACTCCGTATGGTATTTACTGTAGCTCAGTGAAGACCTGCAATTCCATTTTAGAGGGGATACTGAGACCATAAGAATTGCTTTTGTTGCAATTTGGCATAAAATACGAGACATTTTGAAATCCTGCACAAACAGAAAGGATTGTTCTCCACCTGATTCTGGGCTAGTCCAATTTATGAGAATAGGCTATGACCAAATTAGAGTTCAACAGCCAATGCTACATTTCCTGAAACTCTGAGAGCTACCACAGCTACACAATGGCAAATCAACCACCACCTTTCCCTGCCCAAAGGACTCCACGAAGTGTAACAACTGCCGAAGTCCATCAAGTACATCCTCCATTGCTGACATCTACCTCTGCCATTAATACAATGGGACCATTTTGGGTTTTGGTTTGGCTTTCTTTTTTTTTGGTTAAGGTAAGGCCCTGTGAGTCATTAGAACTAGAAGGAAAAGAGAAGCCAATTTAGTGAGAAAATAGAGGAAAGAAAGAATGTATCATTCACTGACTACTCTCTGTCACTGTCCAGGCTTCTTACAGAGGCAGCTCTTAAGAAAACTTCACAGATAGGTGAGTGGAAGAAAGAAACTGCTTTTGATAAATAACCTAGATACACGTACCTTGCACTTTTTTTTTTCCTCTTTATAAACAGAACTGTTTAAGTAGAGTTTCCAACTAAGCACAAAACCTCAAGCCATCAAACAAACTTTCCAAAGCAGCAGTACAGTATAATTTTCAATGAAAATTAACAAATGCAAAAAATGCAACGTCCCTTCAAACACCTGAAGCTCCTGAACCCTCTGGATAAAACCAATACTTCCTTCTTTTATTCTCTGCAGTGAGATTATCTGTGTTCTGCTAACACTGTTCCTTAATTAGTTATGCTTCCTTTCATAGACATTCCAGTTTTATACTATTTACAGCTTGTTTTCCACACATACACCTCTTTTCATCATACACAACTTACTGTTGATCCTACCCACTACTAGTGGACACTACAAGAGGATAAGAAAAGAATAACTTCAGTCCTCTACTGAAGAAATGACATTTATGTAACATACCTATAAATCTGGAATTCTTTCAATGCTTGTGTTGTTCTAGCTAATCAGTAGTACTCTAATAAGCAGTTAATTATTTGCATGTGCATATAGAAGTATAAATGCATCGTATGGCTATCTATATAGTCTCACATGTTACATACACCTACACATATATTTTACACACTTGCTCCATCAACAGAACAGGCTACTCAGAATGTCATTATGGAAAATATTTGTAACAAATCTTTTCTCCAGACCTGCTCCTTCCACCTTCCTGGCACTGAAGGTTGGAAAACTTTGTCTTGATATGTTAAAGTTTGTATGAATAGCAAACCAGAGAATTCAAGTTCAACCTCTGATTTAAAAAACAAGTTTTGTTCAGCTTTTTGTGTATCAAACCTGAATACATATTACAGAGATAGGATTAACATTGTAATGTCAGTTTTTGCTAAACTGAAGTCACGCTCAAGAACTGAACATCTACAAAGTCTATTGAAAGTGACAGACTGCGATTTCATTGGAAAACAGGCATTTAATTTGTTAAAGAGAGATTAACAATTATAATGTTCTTAGACAACAGCGTCTGAGCAGACATTCATTAGTGTATTTATCCAAACCCAAAATTTGGCCCTACATCTTAACAGCCCTGTATCTAAATGTAGTTGAACACTGTCTTGAATTAAAACTAAGATAACACATCGTATAGATAACAACTTACATATTCATTGCCTAAACAAAACACATTTAATATTTTATAACAGGTTACAGTAAAATGCTCTAGGTATCTGCAGAAAAAGAACATTTCTTTCCTGCATTCAAGTCGCCTCTAAGCTCTACCACAACAGATAAACACACGCGTTTTTATAGCAGAGAAAAATATACACATTGATACGTAATTTCTAAAAATCACTCACCACCAAAATGAAAAGGGAAACGTGCTTCATGTGTGCAATCATACTATGGGAAAATTGTTGCTTAATATTCAAGTTACTTACAGATTTGCTGTCCAGCCTGCAAGATCTCCGCTCTCCATAATAAGGTGATTTCCATCCAGGAGCCCAAGAGGGCTACTAGAGAAGGCAGGTGTCGGAGACTGGGAAGAAAGAGAATCCATGCTCCCAGTTGGGGTGTCTTCTCTGGGAACGTTGTAACTGTCACCTAGAAAAAAGTGCACAGGTCAGAAGGATACTAAAAGAACCTTCTCATAAGCCAAAGAAGCTGCTTTAGTAACAACATCCTGAAATAAATATGAGAAGAAACCTTACTGTCCCATCTTCACAGGATATTTTGGAGGACAGGCAATCCCCCAGCACTTCCCCAAAAAGCACCATTGCACAATTTCCTCCATCATTATCACCAGGCTATCTTCACAACACAATGTATTCCCTGTCCCCTTTTCAACATGCATTTTATTTAGATGAAATGCTAGATTTAGATAAATGCATCACTTCAGATAACAAAATAGTTCAGGCCATACACATTTGTGTGTCTCCCTAAAAACAATTCAATACACATTTGAGGAAATGATTGCTCTTAAGTACCATAAAGCACAATCCTATCAAACGTGAAACAATGAAATTTAAAAAGGTCAGAATAAACAGGAGATCTCTAACAGACACGCAATACCCGAGAATGATACTTTTATTACTCCTTTTTAACAGTGTTACTTTTAAGAGAAATCATTATATTCTGGTCTACTATTTGTTTTCATAGGCTACTTTTAGAATATCACTCAGGAGGCAACAAATTCAGAAATGATTGCTTAAAAAAACATTAAAGGAACACCTATCCCATGGATAAGAAGAAAAAATTACCAATGTGTCACAGCACTCACTGCAAACCATGCTGACACATCTAGCCATTCGTTGCTGAAAAACTAACCTTCACCTACATAGTTTTTCCTTTTAAAATTTGTATTTAAACATCAGTTGCACATTTTATAAATTCTAAAGGAGGAGTATGAAACGAGGATGATTGCAAACATTAAAGTGTCCAGCATAGCTAAGCCCAGTCTCAAATGGGGCCCGTGGTTGTTTTCAGAATATTAATATTTAACAATAATAAGGGTCACCTCCAGCCACCCTTTACAAGGCTCCCCACATCTTTTCCTTTCCTCCTCTGCCCATCCTATTCCCACTAGCACCCATGAACACAGACCACAGCCCTCCTAAATAACAACATCACAGAAGTCCCTCTACAGTGGAACAGATACTGTGACCCCACAGTCTTGCTAAAAGAGTTCTGCTCCCCCGTGACCAAAAGCTTTGCAGAAAAAAATGAACAACCAAGTCCTAACACAGCATCACAATAATGTGATGAAGAACTGTTAAAATATTGTGCCTGCTTGACAAACTGTAATTCCTATCTATAGCACTATACAAGAATAAGTCCTGTACAATATTACTTTCTAATGCTAAATGAACTAGATCTGCACGGTAAATAATTGAGCTTAATTCTACTCCATCAAGCTAAGCCATACTGTTGTAATGACTTCTTTCATTCATTATTTTTTCTTAATTAATTAAACATGCAATAACAATTAAAAGTGGACAGTGAAAAACCATCTTCACTGGATAAAATCCTTCTCACAAATTTATTATTGCCTCAACCAGTTCAATTCCTTCTGCTTCAAAAGCAGAAAGCTAACAAAGTACTCACCCACTTCACCAGCCATCTCGTCAGAGTTCCCCAGCAACTCTCAGAGAACAACTTCCCTAGAGAGTATAAATGACACACACCTAAAAACACTGAAACGATAAAAGTCATCATCTGGAAATTTCTCCCTAAAGCCGCTGCTAATTTAAGGATCTAAATTAGCCTGTAGTAACAAAGTATTATAAGCTCTGAGGAGAAAAACATCAACCTGGGAAAGTGAGTCACCCGCACTCCAACCCAACCCTGCTCACCTCACACCTCCTCACTGCACCCTGGCCACGATGCTGCCACTCACATTTACATGACATGACATGAGAACCATAGGAGTCTCAGGTAAAAGCTAATAAATTACATATCAGTTCCAGACATATGTGTCACAATGACAAATATCTGAGAGATTAGACAGTAACACTGCAATTTTACTTTATAAAGAAATTGAATTCCTTAAAACTAGACTTAACTCCTTTTAACACATCACAATTTCTTTTCAAAGTAGTAGTATCAATGCAACCCAGATTATCAAACTATACACTGTATTAGAAGGCCACATTTACCTCAACCATTCACTTAATATTACTAAAACAGCAGTAGGAAGGAATATTAACTTGTTCTTTAATATATGAATATGACCAACTCACCACACCTCACTACAGAAAGCAGAGGTTTTTCTGTTGAATTGTTTCTCAGAGCATAGAGAAAAAAAAGATTAAGAATATTAAATGCTTCAGTAGAGTCTACACTGGAGACTGCAGTATACAGGCAACTGCATTTGACATTATCATAAATGAAACTGCTAAATCTTTCCTCAAATTTTACTTCTTCCTTCCCTTCTTTCCTGAGCCAGTGTTTTCTCACAGTCAATACTGAGTTGCACTCTCAAGAATAAGACTGGGTTTTGAACACAAACAACAAATGAGGTATTTAAACAGGAAAACGTCTGCTAAATTCTACAGGATTAAGTGAACACCCTCTAAAAACATGTTCAAAGACACTTTACATTTCTGATGTTTTGAATTATCCATTTTTGTAAAGTAAAACAAAGCTTTTATTCAGGAACAGGCAATTTTGTGTAAATGCAAAACCACATGACTAATGATCATCTAGCTCATATTCATGATCAAAACCAATTTATGCTCAAACACTAAGTCTTCAAAATATAGTGTCATTGCTCTGACATCAGTAGTACAAAGATTTCACTTTGTATGTTGGTGACAAAAAGTTCTGCTAACTTCAGAAATTAATAGTAACTCCTATATATGGTAGAAGCCATAGAATTATATCTAGTTATTAAGCTTAATAACCTGATTTTGATTAATGCCCATCTCATGTTAGGCCAAACTGTATCTTCCAGAGTCATCGTCTGAAGACATCAGCAGATGATAAAGGTAATGGAGAATCAATTGGCTGCTAATTAACATACTCGCTGATTAATGCACATACCTTCACTTTGTTAGGCTTTATTTTCCAGGCATGACCCATGTAGCATATGCATTGCTAATAATTACAGTATCTCTCATATCTGGTTTTTGTGCTGTGTGAAGGAATGATCTCCTTTTTAGGTTTAACGCTAAATCTCTTCCTGTAAGGGATTTTGCAGTTTTGGAATCATGCATCTGTTTTATAAACCTGTTTCAATTTTCCAGAGTTCTTTCTGAAGAGCGTACATCAGATCTGAATTCATTTTTTGTTGTGGTCCCACAAGTGCTACACAGAGCATTAATTCCACCACTTACTCTTACACATCAGTCCTCTGTTCGTACATCCCCAGAATTCAGGGGCTCCCTAATATTAGTAGTCTAATATTTTTACTGTTTCTCTCCTCTCACTCCTCTTTACCTCCAATGTTGTTCTCCAGTGAGCAGCACTGTCAGGTTTCCCACTTCTATGAAAAGGCTGACTGCTACATTGGACTGGCAGGTCCTTCAAAAAGGAGCTCCAGAAACTCCCTGTTCTTCTTTTCTACCACTTGAGTTCTAATGAGCTCTTACAATATCAAATAGGAAGATGTGATTTATTTTAAAGTTCATTTATATCATTCTCTGAGCATAGAGTTTGGTGTTCTTGGTGTCTTCATCTTCTCTCCCCAAAAATGTCGATCCCCCTCCCTTTTCTCTCCCATTATACTCTTATCTTTGGGTGGCAAAGAGTGTCAGAACAGATGAAGGACATGAGGGTTCACAGTAAAAAAGTGGTAAGTCTGTATGATGTCACATTTTTGTCAACACTCCAGCCATCAACTCTTCATCTTTTCTTCTTTATATTTCTGGGAAGCCTCTGAGTGCCTTTGGCCTTCAGTTTGGCCATCATTCTAGAGTTGCCACCAAGCTGCTTCTACAATTCACCTCCTCATCCTACACAAATAGGTGTAAGATCCAAATTTACTCTCAACAGAGTAATGCTTGTTTCACATTCTCACCAACTTTTGCGTGCAATTTAAATTGTTTGACTGCTCAGATCCTTTTAAACTGTCATCTAAATTATCTTCTTGTTTCACTGTTCTAATCACAACACTCATCCAAGCCTTAAAACTTCCACTGTGCCTTTGCAACAGACAGCCATGCTTTGTCTTTATGGCTGTTCATAGTTCAGGCCAGCACTATCTAGAAAATAAAACAGCTTAGACTGATCCTAACCATTTACTGGTTGTCTCTAGCTGGTACTACTTACTATTTGGTTTCTAACCCAAATACCCTTCCTCTTTCCCCCCTTCCCTGCCTCATGTCCCCCATTCTCATAATGAAACATCCCCACAAGGTAAGAAAGTACCTGTATGGACTAAGACTTAAACCATTTAGCTTCTCTCTAGCAAATATGTAACTCTCAATTCCTTTTCACTTTTGTCTGGATAAGCCTCAGATAGTAAAGGCTCTTGGACCTTCCGTACCAGAAATATGAACTTAGCTTCTACCTAACTGAGCATGACGTGCCTCCCAAGTTGCCTCTTTTTCTCTCCATTTTCCATCTGGCTAGTCTAAGAATATTTTTTGTTGGCATCCAAAGTTGAAAGAAACTGAAATACTTTGGCAGTGTCAATAATCAGATCCTTACTCTACTCCAAGAATTCTAAATAAGAAAAAGCATTTGTAATAAAAACTACAGAAAACGGAGAGCTAACACTATCACAGTAACTTGCACGAGTGACGGGAGTTTTCTTCCAACTTCAGATTAAGTAAACTAAAGAATTACATACTTTACTATTAAAAGAAAGACTAATCTTTAACTTCAACATTACACCCAACATCTATAGTTTAAGGGTAGACAGAGAATAAAAGCAGTTTATGAAAGTGAATGTTTCTGGAATAAATGAGATACACAGAATGGGCAGAACTGTCATATATGTTTTAAGGGTTCATCAGATATGCAAATTGTGGCAAAATAAGAGGATAAAAGACATGTCTTATTCCACTTTGACATAGTCACACAGGTCTAGTCATAGACAAAGAGTGATTAAGAGAATTAATGAGGAGAGTAAATTGAAGATGCTGCAAATACCACCTTAAGTC